CACATAAAACGTGTAACCAGGAAGTTTCTGGAAGTTTCTCGTTGTAGTCGTGCAAAACAATGGCGAAGAAATGTACAAAAAAGTGTGCTCCATGTGCAAAGTTGTTATTTTGCAGGGGCACTCAACGACAATTTTCGGAAGAATATCTGTTCGGAAGACGATTTTAGATCTAGAATTTTCGGAACATTTGTTGTAAAATTTCTTGCTTGCCTACCTCTCCTAGGATTTTCGAACATCAAAAAAATGGTATAATTGCCTATTTTTAACGGATTTTTACCCAAAAAAGGTCACCTAGAATTTTCGGGAGCCTTTTTTCTGGCTGAAATTTTCGAAAAGGTAAGTTTTGATCCCTATAATTTTCGGATCACTAGGCTTTCAGCTAGGAAATCCGAACAGATGAAAAATTTTTAGGAGATAAAAATATGCCTATATCTACCGTTTAAATACCAAAATACGTTTAACAGTGCTATGTTTAAGTGGTTTTTAACTATATTCTCGTTGGGTGCCCCTGATTTTGCTAACTAGATCTACTGATTGTTTTTGGCTGTTTTCGTTGTCGTCGCCGCTTAGCATTACACGATTTTATATTTTGTTTTAGTAAACTTAAGATATTAAAAAGAGCTTCGCTTTTAGCCCTGGCTTAATCTATATGTTATATCTTGGCAAGTGTATGTGAATTTTTTGCGTCGCCGGAAACAACAAAGAGAACTGCCAAACTGCCAAACTTAAGACCTCAGTGGCATTTACGTATTTTTTGTACTACATAGATCCTTCATTAAAAATAAAACTTTGCGTTTCAAAACATGTTAACGATTATGAAAAAATTAAAATAGACAAATTAAAGCGATTGCTAAACCCTACTGAAGTTATTCGGACCGCGAATCAAATACTTACCCTTAGAGAAGAAACTGAGGACAACTGAAGAACTCTAACAATGTTCGTCACTACTAAGTTCGATCATTTGGAACACTTTAACTTATTTGGGTGTTTCTATTTTAATTGTGCGCAACAATCAAACCTTTCTTAGATTTAAAATATTTTGCGAAAACTTCCGGTTTTTCTGGGGAGATAAGAGGTATGTACTGAATAAACATTGATTTTTGTGGCCCTCTGTAATAAGGGACTAGATGTTGCTAAACGAAGATGAAAGATTAAACCTGATTTCCACAGTTAGGATGATATTTTAAAGATTTTGAAGTGGGGAACGATAATAAATTAGTCATAATAGTGTAAGCTACAATAAATATTTTATTTTATTTGTGGTCTTTTGAAAGCCATGCTTGATCGTGCGTATCGCTTATCGTCTTGCTGGTCGTATTTTTCTGATGAATGTGACCGGGCAGGAGCGGATCTAGGGGGAGGGTGCAGGGGGTGCGCCCCCCCCCCCCCTGAGATGACCTGCGGTTTTCTAATACAACTGGTATTCTGCAAAAAAAAAACTATGTGGTTTATTGGTGTTGAAGTAGAGCAAGAGACGAGTGCACCCCCTCCTGAAAAAAATCCTGGATCCGCCCCTGCCGGGAATCTTCTTTCACCTTGTCAATAGTACCATCAGGGATTTTGTTGCTTCAAAGGTGCAAGACCAGCAACCGAAACCTTCCCCCGCAGATAGCTCTCCAGTTCGTAAAAATTGTTCTCCTTTATCTGGCGAGTTTTATTTAGACATTTTATAATCATCCCCATAAGATTGTTCAAATAAATCTGCAGTGAAGACATTTTCTGAATTCAGGACCATTTTAATCGAATCCGTTCATGTTAAAAACAGTAACTGAATTTGTCGTCTATATCATTGTGGTATAACACTAGAATTTCTTTTGTCACACACAGCTACACACAGACATAAGTTGTGTAATAATAATTCCTGGAGAGGAAATTGATTCTGCACACATGCTTCTTACATAAACCAGTCCAGTGGATTACGAGAAACTGTGAAGCAGTCCTACCCTGGAAAGGAATCACCCCGGGGGGGGGGGGGGGGGGGGGG